TCATCTTTCGTTCATCAGTGCGTTTTACCCATTCTACTCTATTTCTCCCCTGTAGTGATTCCCCACTTTTGAAAAACAAGACTTCGAAACAATTATCCGTGGTTTGAAAATCATCAGTCGTGCATCATTAATTCCGATCGATTCATTAATTACAGAACTTATTGATGGTCACATCAACTCTTGTGGTAAATTAGCCCATAAGATTCTAGAGGATCCCGTTCATCCACTCCACCCTGATCTATCGTCTTGTCGTTCCCATCCGTCCACACTCTTCTCATTTCGACATCTAACCTCTTACATTAGCAGTTATAAAAGCTCCCCTGTACTCCTAACCAAAAAGGAACAGGTCGCAAGTGAACTACGTCAAATGTTTCGTACTATACTCGAGCCTAAGTTCCAAAGTAATAGCGAGCTTCAATTTGGTACTGTCTTTACGAATTATAGTACTAACCCGTTTACCCCAATATGCATTCCTGATGAAGTTAACTAAGTTTGAAACTGGAATTCAGAGATTTCAGAGTGCATTATTGACCAACAAAATGGATGTGGAAATGAGGAGTGATGTTTGATGAGTTTGAATCAATAATTTTGATCATCCTTTCTCAATGTCTAGGAAATATCTATAGAAGACTTCAGTTATCATTTTGTACATAGCTATATGCATACAAAAGCTTTAGTAATGTCGGGCTGCGGCTGCTTACGCATTCTTTCCACCTCGCAAACTGCTCTCAGGCTTATCAAATAGCTTGTAATGAGGAAGCCATACAAACTGCCTTCTAGTGGGGGACGAAATACAATATCCGGGGCTGAAATCGGATTAGGGAACCACCGGCGGTTCGCCCAGGGGCGTAGACTACAAACCTGATTCCAAATCAAGCAAGAAGGGGCGTACGAACCAGACCGATCTTAGTGCTTGTTGCCGTAGTCAACGCCTCGACTGGGCATCGATGTGTTTATTGGGTCCTTTGGACGTTTAATCCCATCTAAAGGGAGTATGCTTTCATGAACTGAACACCGGCCCTCAATGGATCGCGGTTTTTCCACACCACCTCGTTGCCTTGCAAACCACAATTTGGTTAGCAGAAGGCTTCGGTTGTTAATTCCCAAAATAATATCACCTGCTTTTGCATGGGTAACCTCTTAGTATCGCACCCGCGAGCAAATCATAGAACTTTTACTTTTCTAAGGCTTATTGCACGATGATTTTTCAGTTCAGTCTCGATTCAGTAGTGCGTGAAAACATGAAATAATATCTAATACATAAAATATATTGGCATATATCACTGGTTCAAAGGTTACCATTTTCATTTAAAAACGTGGCCAGATACAGTGGTATGCTTTTATTGAATACAACTAAAACTTTGACGTGATTCTTGAGATTAAAGGATTTATGATTGAATTCGACCCAGAAAAGAAGCTTGCAAATCACCACAGGACCGCGGCCCCTTCGTGAATATTGGTTGTAACGTGTCACTCCCCTTTTGTTTCGTACTCTCCAGAAGTGGTAATTGAAAACAGTGATAACTGCAACTGATGTTTCAATTCTTACCTTGCAAGAACAAAAAATATCACCCCAGTTGAAACGGATGATGGTGTTGTTTAAGTAGAGACGGATATAAAACATCACTCGGTCCTTCACGCAACGCATCTTGTAAAACCTCATCTACAGCTATGAGAGTCAAATTTGATCTTGGGTTATACTTACGTTATTGTTGTGAACCATCAACTTGTTTTATTCCTTAAAACATTTAAATCATTTGACACTGACAGTGACCGTTCAGGAATTCGGTACGTTTCTGGTAGTGCACCCTCGGCATTTCCTATAGGTCTTGACATCTGCAGTGGTCAGATGCACTTTATCCTGCCTGGTACGTCTGTATTGAAAGGCCAAACAGCAACGGGGTGATCAAACTTGTTCGTATTCAGCACGACTCCATTTGTGTTTTTTGGGTAATGCAACGCATTTTCAGGTGATTAATTGTTATGCAACGATTTAGCGTGGTTAGCTATTTCATGAAAGCTGAAAAACCTTCGGGGCATCTCCAGCTCCAGTTTTCGAAAACATTGGTCTTATTGACCTCATCGTTCGTTGGTTTTGGTTTTTATAAATATTGACTAGATAAATATCTTTGCTTATAGCCATACTGCACTTCCTAGTTCATAATATTGAGCTGCAACACGCCCTTCAATTTTGAAAACAAATATACCGCTTCATAGGATAATCCGTGAGAAATATAGGTTATACTCTATGTCGTATGTTTGAGTGTGACAGCTTTTTGTCAAGTGTCCAAATGAGATCATTTGCTTCACAGTATTTCACACTGGCGGTTTGGAGCGGACGGGTTAAAATAGCGTTTCGTGATTGGTGCTCAGGGGAGTGTGTACCCGATTGTCATCTGTTACGTGGACGTGTGCGCTCGCGCATTGATCTGATTGGTGGGTATTGGATATTGGTAGACAATAAAGGGTTCAAATAGGGTCGGGTTTAAAAGTGATTTCCAAAACATGTCTGAACTCATAGATGTTTTATCCGTAAGTGATGCCTATATTTATGGGTCTTTGTGTGTAAGGTGTGTTGGGATTACAATTGGTAGTCGTACGCATCATTTTTGAAGGTTGTGTGATATCATTGTATTCGTTTATGACACGATATTAATGTATGATGATCAGCTATATTTATAATGGCATTAATAATAATATTAATAATAATAATTCTCTTGAAAGACATGTTATCCATTGGGTACCACAACGAAACGCACTAGACCGGGAATGAGGGATGTTATTGGTGGTGCGATGCGAAAATACATATACCCAAGGTCTCTGCCACATGTGTATCTGTTCATAAATTGATATTTTTGTACTTCTTTATGAAAATCTAAAACCAATGGAGAATGATTCAGACTAACGATGGTGGTCTAAATAAAAGTTTATGTACCACATTCTAGAAACCAAAAGGACCAGGATTTTCGTGTGCTATGTATCCTTGGGAAAGCGTACAACACTAAATTAATTTCAATCCATAAAACCCAATTACTTACGTTTTTACCTCTTTCCAAAGATTTTGTTATAAATTTCAACTGTGTGAAACATATCCCTAGTAAACTGATGTACAAGTTAATTGTAACGGAAGAGAATTATTCATTGTTATTCTGTTTGCGAAGTCATGTTTTGCCTCATTTCAAATGTATAGCAGGACGAGGTTTCCCTTTGGGCAAATAAAACACACTTTTCCCCGAGATGTTTTTGCTTACCAGTATGTATCCACTTCAAGATAATTTTACGGCATACTTGGTCGTGATAATTAGAGGAAGTCGGTAATTAGTGATTGCCGGGCTTAGCTTTACTCAGCACTTCAAGACGGTAAGCGAGTCGTCCGCAAGTGTGTGTGTGTGCATGGACGAGTTCCGGTTTCCCGGACCGTCGGTAAAAACGGGACGTGATGCACGGACGGATAAAATGCACCAGTGGAATGCGAACAAACATTGTTGAACTTTCATGTTAATTTGAACCCATAATTGGCTCAACATTTAGACGAGCATTCTCACAGTCAGCCTCTGTTGCTCGCTGCTATCAATCAAGTTCACGGTTAACGAACTCGTTCTGTCAGTATATGCCTGTAATGACCACTTCACGTGTAGCCCAACCCGCGCCCATAGAATGCCCGCACGGACGGGATTAATCCAGCGCGTCTAGTGTAATGAATAACAAAACTTCAATGACCCAATTTCGCTCGAACTGCGAGAGGTATATCTGCACTGGTTTGACCTGGTGAATTTCAATTCTGAGGTCAAATATGACATGGATTTTGGACGGTCTTCTAGCAAATATCATAGTAGTTTAAATAAAATCGATTCTTTTTATTACAAGGTAAATTTATTAGAATCGTACGTAAGAAATCATTAACCGGTAAGTTTTATTAACATTAAAATACTTGCTCCAGATTTTGCGATTCAGACGTGGTGGTGATAAGGGAGATTTAGAATCTTTAGGTGGTTTGATTTATTTTAATTTGCAGCCGAAACTTTGCATGCAAAGATGACCGATAGGCTGTTTTCATGAGCGTAGCACTTGTGGTCCGAATATACCATTATTAAAAAATTGTAAGAGCGTATGTTATTGAACAAGCTCGTTCGCTTTGTTTAAGGGAACGATAACTTTTTTATTTAATGATTAAACATTGTTCGCAGTTTCGACGTCGTTTATCTTCTTTGGTTCTGTGTTGTTGGTGGGGAAATGAAAACATAGTGCAGAGAACTGAATCGGTTATGCCGGAGAGAATCACGACAGTTATTTTTGATTGAGGTGAAAGCAAGTGAAGATTACCTTGACATGTAAAAGCAAAAGAATCAGTTCACCTGGGGTCTAACTAGTGCTGTGTGGTTAAAATAAATCGCTTCTACAACTTAAGCCTCACTACTTTACATTCTTCAGCCTTATAGTTCGAAATTTAGATACCTAATAATCTATGAGACAATGCCATACGTGCTATGATATTCCTTACGCTCCAATAAGATTGCGGAATCCTAAATTCAGTCCGTTTTAAAAGGTCGCGCTGGTCTACTCTGTTATATCTCCACATACGTATCCACACAAGCATTGGAGATATAATCGACATATTCATTCATTTATTTTTGTTGAAACCAACTGTGAGAAATGATTTATTGTGGCACATGAACATGAATTCCGATGTTCAGTCATCTAAATTACCAGAGAGCATACAGATTTTTCAGATCTAATCAGTAATTTGAACATTTGTCTGCACCGCACATTTTTCTTTTTGCGTAATATTTTGCTTGTGAAAGATTATTTTTTATCTGGTCTTGACTCGGGTAAAGCGAATGTACAAGTGTCTTTTAATTTAATTTCAGATGGAGAAACGTATGATTTTGTGCAAAACTGTTGCTCGGAGAATACACCACGACGAGGATTTATGAGTTTGTACGCGCCACGGAATTTCGTGATTCAGCCCACACTTGCACGAATACCGCACATTGCACAAGATGTCGTTCATGACCGCGGAAATGTCCAGTCAGATTCCCACTGTGCTGATCATGCTCAGTGTGATTTGTGTAGTGGGTACAGTGGGCAACTTGCTTGTGATTATTGTATACGCTTTGAAGCACGATCGACTCACATCCACTCTGTTTATTCTTGTCTTGGCTGTCACCGATTTCCTCGCCTGTCTAACCCTCATTCCTGGTACAATAGCGATTGAATATCTGGAGTGGAAGATGCGCTCTGCATTCCTTTGCAAATCCTACTATTTGCTCAACAACAGTTTCATTCCATTCAGCAGCTTGCTTATCAGTTGCATCGCGTTCGATCGATACTTTTGCCTGTGTCATCCGTTTGCTAAAATCATGACCTTTGTCCGTGCAAAACGCATCATCGGCGTTCTGGTATTCGCCTGCCTATTTCAAGGCGGATGTTCCACATTCCTTGTTCGCATTGAGAAAGTTCAGTCAACGCCAGTATTGGCTACGGCTGAGGGTAAGAATGACACCAACGGGGACGTGTCATCAGTGATCAACAGCACGGAGGGCGATACGTACGAATGCACAGAAGTGATACGGGTGAATGCTACCATGTTGGAATATGTGTGGTATCGAGTGACACAAAAAATTCAGATTGTCAGCTATTTATTTTGCATTCTTTCGGTAACGGTGCTCTACATTCTGATCTACAGCTCAGTCTCAAAAGTAAGTCTAACTATTTTGCAATTGTTGCATTTGATTCCTAAAATGAAGTTTACATGCATTGGGTATGTTACGATTTAGCAGATTTTAATCTACCTAAATACTGTCACAAAGTCAGTCTACTATTCCTGGAAAGCTATCAGGACTCGGCTACTTTGATCTGGTACATCAAAAGAATTAGTTCATATCAGGTCCTCGAAAGTGCTGTGTTCTTTTCAAGAAAGAATCTGCTGCTAGCCTTGATAGTTTCGCTTGCCATAGCACAATACACTGTGGCATAATGAAACTTTACATTCATCAGTATTAAAGCCTTGCAGCCTCATTTGCTGTTTAGCGACTGATTCACGAATCGGATTCATGGTGAACGTATGGCGTGAACTGAAGCCTACATGATTGAACCACATGCTGAGAAACTGGTTTATGGAGGCAAGTCATGTTGTCCTAATGTGTCCAGTTTGAATGCGATTGGATGAAATCAAACGAAATATTCATTTCATTAGAATGGAGAAAGTAAGGATCGAACAACGACAATAATATTAATTATAATAACATCAGTGACAACACACCAGCTATAGNTATAGAAATGGATACCCGGACGGGTGTGAACCGATGCAAATGCATTGGCTTGTAATACCTGTCAATGTAATACCTCTCACTTACGATTAGAAACAAAAGAACCGTTGAAACATTACTTACATTGGTATAAGCTTTTAGCTGAGAAAATGTTTCCTGAATGAAGAAGAGATATCAAACTAGTTGAGCAATCAACATTTAAGAATATTTATTTGATATAACTGCAACTTTAGGGATACATCTGAAAGAACTTCAAGTTGATCAGATATCCAGCATGTTTATAATAGAACACACTACAGTTATGCACTTCGCGTGTGCTGACCTGGTAGCATTCATTATTATACCATTTGCACTGATACCTTACTGGTGATAGATCTGCTTTGAAGATAAGGCATTTCGTTGTCGTTTTGTTCACAGACGTTACTACTCAGTACTTCATCTTTAACGACCGCATTTGGTGAATTGGATGAATCGATCAAAGGGATCATTTGCTTCACAAAATCTCATGAGCTGTATTTTGTTTTTCTCAGCCCCTGTCGCTTATCACATTTTGAACCAGATAATTAGATTTGTTTTCAGAGTCAATATTTATCATTCTTATTGTCGTCAAGATTAAGGTTTCACCATAGGACCAAATTTCCTTGTATCCTTGTACACCTTATACATGATAATCAGATAACGCTGAAATATTTTGTTTACTATGTTTTTATTTCATCTTGTACAAATTAGGGTTTGTACTGTGCGGTGCTGCATGGGTAAACTAGTGCCATCCACGTTTAGGTTCAAATCAGGTTGTATGGCACGTGACTGGGAACAACGGAAATCCTCAGATAATTCAAGCTTCGAAATGGGGGTACTATGTGAATGGATTTTCCGGGAGGGCTCGTGCGTCATTTGGGGGAAGGCTTGACGTGAATAACAATCAAGTAAATGACCACCTCAGTGACCCCAGAGCGACCGATAAACACCGTTTGTCTAGTTACTCAAAAAATCTTCCACATCTTTCACTGAAAACTTACTCAAAAGAGAGAGCGAGGTGGGGCATTTCACAATCGCACCATGGGATGGACAGCTAGCGTAAAGCATCAATCGATTAAATTGGTGAACTGGCAATCCAAATGTTTGTGGAAATCTGTGACATCCTACTTTGTTTGCTGCACATGATTGATCCATGTCGGCACTGAACTTGCTTTCATCACTTGGAGAATTCCCTTGTGGATTTAAGATGACCAAAGTGAACCCCTTTTCATCCGTATTGTTTTTTCTCATAATCAAATTAACTGGATTTAACCAATTCCCAAATAGCAATGGTTAACTCCGTTTGAAATGCGGACACAACGGAACTTGGGGGGGGGGAGTAATGCATT